CCCATGCCCCCCATGCCCCCCATGACCCCCATGCATTGTCTTTCTTCCTGAACCACTTGAAGGTAAGTTGCGTCTGTCACTTTCCTTTACCCTTTAGTACAACCTTGTGAGTCTGCGTTTTTTTGACACCGTGTAAAGTTTCCTCCGGTTTGGCCAGTGCTTTGAGAATTGCTGGCTGTAGCTATAGTGGAAAGAAAGCTGGTCAGAGGGTCAGGACACATGGGCTCTAGTTCTGGTTCTAAAACTTACAAGTCTCTCAGACCTGGGTTCCTATCCTGGGAACCTACGGCAACTCAGAAGCCAGTTCTATGCCATTTCGCAAATAACTTCATCTCTTTAAGTTTTCTCTAGAGTCAAACTATGGCCCAGGAGCCAAATCTGTCTCATCACCTCTTTCGAGGATGTCTCTGAGGGACGGTTTGTGTGCCTCCACTACCTTTGATATGACCATGGCAGGCATTACTAATGAATCACAGCATCCTTTCCCACCGAACTTAGATGCAACCTCCAATTCCTTCTCAACCAAGCTCTCCAGTGCCTAGAACAGTGCCTGGCACATAGTAGGCTCTCAATGTGTGTTGATGGATTTACTGATCACAGCCAAGCTGGGATGAAAACTGTTTGTCATTCCCATACTAGAAAGTGTCTGGAGAAAGACAACTGGGATGATGAAGGTCAAGAAACCACGGACCATAAGGAAGACTGCAGGGAGGAGACAGAATTGTTGCTTTCGTATTCTGGGAACTATTGGGTGGCAGAAAAATTAGACATCTTATAGGCAACCACTTTAGAACCAAGGTCAGGAGAGAAGTCCCAAAGAGGCTGATCTTGTAAGGAAGGAATTTTTCATGAATAGACCGTACCCTGGGGAAACAGACCTCTCTTTCTCTCTCTCTCTCTCTCTCTCTCTTTCTCCTCATACAGAGGTGGATTCTGTCTGATGGCTTTGCCTGCCCACCACCCACTCCCTTTCTTTGACAATAGCATCTAGTTTTCCTTGGGAATCCATTTTCAATCTGTTTGATAATGTGGAGCTGGGTCTACCCCTGGCTCTAGGGCTGCACACATAGCCCAAGTTTGGCCAATCAGAGCATTCCAACACCACAGTGATCGGTTCATGTAAAGACATGTGATCAAAGTTAGACCAATGAAAGGCAGGCCTGGTGCTTTTGCCAGGAACAAGTTTCTCTCCTTTTTCTGGGGTGGTTAAGCTGGTGGGATATGAGTCTGGAGCCACTGGGAGATGTCTTGTCACTCTAGGGGAGAGCCTGCCTGAGAATGAAGCCTCCCTAGAGAAAAAACAGAGTTGAGGAGTGCATGGAGGAGTTTCTTAACAAAAATCAAGTTCCTGGATCCAGCCATACCTGGAAGCTAAAATTTCTTATTTTTGGCAAGCCAGTTTAAGAGTAGGTTTCCTGTCCTGTGTAATGCAGAATTCTGTCTAAGATCCTTTTCACCCCAGGGGCTCCAAGATTTTATGAGATTGTATATGTGTCGGATGATGCTGCTTGTGGAAGAATCAGTGGGACCTGAGAGGGGAGAGGGAGGAGACAGAGGGGAGAGAGACCTGGGGTGCCTGTACCTGTGGCTCTGGCCCCTCCAGCCTCTTGTCACCAGGAGATAGGCAATGCCACCCACGAGGAGGGACCCAGCCGCAAGAGATCCGATGACGATGGCAGCCACAATCCCAGCAGTTATGGGCAGGTGTGCAATGGGCGGCTCCTTATACTTTTCTGAGGGGTCTGAGAGAGAGAGAGAGAGTGAGGAAGAGAGAGAACAAGGACTGTGCGATGTCCCATGAGCCCCCCCCACCCCGTTCAACACAGCATCAGCGACTATCCATGGAGCACGGAAGTGTAATTTCCTATTTCCAGCCCAGAACTTTCTCCTGCTTTTCAGACCTGAGTATCCAGCTATCTGGATGGCGCATAAAACTCAACATGTCCCAGGTGGAGCACCTCGGCTTGCCCCCACTTCAAAATCTCGGCTTCCCTAGGATTTCCTACCATCCTCAGCACATCCCAAACCTACATCCTGACATGCTCCTCCCACCTCACCAACCTGCTTTTTCTCATCTCAATTGATATTCATCCTTCCAGCAAAAGATGAAGTTGTAGGCTGAGTTTTGTAGGGGACATGAGGACTTGCAGGATTCTTAAGCTGGACCTGCCAGATTTGTGACCAAGTCTACTGGGCTCCCACCCTTCTGGCCCCCAGCACAGGGACCTCCTAGCCTTTACTCTCAAGCTGGACACCTGTTACATCCCAACCCTTTATGGCAGCTAAGCTGGGAGATTATGAGTTCAGAATTCTGGGGTTCAAGTCCCTGCTGCCTACTGGCTGTGTGACCTTGGGCAAGTTACTCAACCTCTCTGTGCCTTGGTTTATCTGTGAAATAGTAAGAATACCTAACTTTTAGGGTTATGATGAGGATTGAATGAATATCCACACATCCATAGAATGTTCTTTCAACTATCCAACAAAGAAGTAAGTTCTGTGCCATTTTACAGATGGGGAAACTGAGGCACAGAGAAACAAATTGATTTGCCTGAAGTCTCATAGTAAGTGCAATGCTGGTATCACACCCAGGCCACCTGAACTCCTAATTACCACTCTGTGTGGCTTCCAAAACAGGTGCCTGTGTCCTGGGAGTCCTTAAAGGGTGGGAATTAGCTATTTCGGGCTCTGTGTAAGTGGAGTAAAGACTGTTATTTCCAAATGTACTGCAGTGTCATTTTACATAGACCACTCTGTGTGGCTTCCAAAACAGGTGCCTGTGTCCTGAGAGTCCTTAAAGGGTGGGAATTAGCTATTTCAGGCTCTGTGTAAGTGGAGTAAAGACTGTTATTTCCAAATGTACTGCAGTGTCATTTTACATATATTTGTGTAATCAAATCAATACATATTTTGAGTCAACCATTACCTGTTTCATCCACTTGCCTAAAAAGTTTTCTGTTCAAAGTGTCCAAAATCCATTTTAAAATTTAGTCTCTGCAGTGGGAGAAGGAAATCTGTCTATATCCAGGTTTGTATTGTATGACTATTTGGGCATATTTGGTAGTTGTCCCCACAGCCCAGGGAGGTGGCTAACTTAGGCCCATTTTACAGATGAAGAAACCAAGGCTCAGAGGGTTGCATTTGGGCAGAGGCTAGAAGGCTGTCCCCCTACCACACTGTGTTAGCAACTTGGCATCTTCTACCTTACTGAATCCCCAGAACAGCAAATGAAAATTAAATGGCTTCTGTGAGTGACTCGGGAGGTGGGGCAAGGCCAAGTCTGTATCAGCTGACTTGGGGAGCCTCCCAGTACCCCACCCCCCACCTCTCCTGCACCTCGATATCAAGATCACCCCCACCCCATTGCCCAGTCTTCTTATAACATCCGGAGCTCCCTATCCCTCTCAGCTCCCCAGGATCGGCCTGCTCTGGCCCCTGTAAAACGGGCTAATAACTCCTGCCTCACTGGATGACGTAAAGACCTTAACAAGTGCCTGAACACAGCAAGCATACAATCAATTTAACTGTCACGTTACTATTACTGTTATCATAGTTATTTTATTTTGCTTATATTTTCTCTAACAGTGACTAAGTCATTGAATTAATTAGGATGCAAAACTCGTAGGCGAGGGTGTCTGGGAGAGTTATGTTTGAATCCTGACTCTGCCACTGGTAAACTGTGGAACTCTCTGAACCTCAGTTTCCTCCTCTATAAAATAAAAGAAAATAGCACCTCATTACAAGGCTGCTGGGATGATGAATGGGATAATCCCACAAACGCAGGCAGCCTGGTGGGGATAGAGGCTGCCTGGGAGCTCATGCCCCTAGGAAGGGGGTGCTGCTCCATGGCCCCAGCCCATGGGTGCTGTGTGGGAAAATCATCTTGGTGCCCCCAGACCTTCCATTTCTTAAGAGAATGTTGTATGTAAAGTTGTCCAGGGTCACCGTCTTGGCAGCAAGGTTGGTGCTTTGTTTGGTCAACACAGTGCACGAAGTCATGTTAGAATGCATGAGGCTGCAAAGCAGGTTGGAAAATGCCTTTATTTTGGGCGAGCCCCTGCCCAGTTAAAACTGAGGGTTCTCCTTCTGAAAAAGATGGGGCATGGGTGATAGTGTGCCTCCCCCGCCTGCTTGGCTCTCTTGCAGCCTCGGCACAGATGTGTGTGGCATCAGCTGCACTTGGCTGGACTGTGATGCAGGGACAATGAGGTGACTCTATCTGGTGGAGTGACACAGCAGATGGCTTCCCAGAAACGGCCTGATTTTGATGCTGTCCTCTGTGTATTAATTCTCTGGGGCTGCTGTAACAAAGTACCACAAACTGGGTGGCTTCAACAGAAATTTACTGTCTCACAGTCTGGAGGCTGGAAGTGCAAGATCCAGGTGTCAGCAGGGTTGGTGCCTTCTGAGGCTCTGAGGGACAATCTGTTTTGTCTCTCCCCCCTGGCTTCTGGTGGCTTGCTGGCAATCTTTGGTGCTCTTGGTTTGCAGATGCATTAACCTGATCTCTTCCTTCATCTTCATATGGCCTTCTGCCTGCGTGCTTGTCTACCTCTGTCCAAATTCCCCTTTTTATAAGGACACCTGTCATACTGGATTAGGGCCCACCCTAATGACCTCATTTTAACTTGATTACCTCTGTAAAATCCTTATTTCCAAATAAGGTCACTTTCTGAGGTACTCGGGGTTAGGACTCCACATATCTTTTTTAGGGGACATGATTCAACCCATAACACCCCCCAAGTCAGTTCCCAGCCCTCCTGGAGAGTCTTTGAGCTGCTTAGGATCCTTTAATCCATTCCTGTCCTGCTCAGATCAGCCAGAAGCAGTTTCTGTTGCTGCAGCGAGAACCCTGCCTGACTCACATGATTAACTGTCCCCTTTCTATAACTCGTTGTATTTTCTCCTTATTATCATAAACAGTGAACTTATACAGAGGGAGCCTGTAGAACAGTGACTTTCCCAAAGGTGATGGCAACAGTATCTCCACTCCCACACGCTCTTCTGTGATATGACCTTGTCGTTCTCCTAACAAGTGAGAGGTCTAATCCCTCTCCTTTGGATCTGACCCACTCATAGAGACTCACTTGTAACCAAAAGAATGCCACATAAATGACACTGTGTGACTTCCAGGGCTAGGTCAGAAGAAGCTGTTCAGTTACTGCCTTGGTTTTTAGAATACTTTCTCTCTAGTTGCTGTCCCTCAGAACCCAGCTGCTATGCTGAGAGGAAGCCCAAGGGGCCACATGGAGAGGCCACATGGAGAGGCCACATGCAGACGATCTGATGACAGCCCCAGCTGAGGTCCCAGCTGACAGCCAGAAATCCACCAGACATGAGAGCGAAGATGCCTCCCGAGGATTCCAGCCTGCAGCCTTCAAGCCAGGCTCAGTGTCCTGAGTCTTTTCATCTGAGGCCCCAGACACCATGAGGCAGACAAGCCATCTCTGCTGTCCTGTGTGAATCCTGACCACAGGAATTGTGAATATAATAAAATGGTAGTTGTTTTATATCGCTGAGTTTTTCTGCAGTGATAAATAACTGGAATAGAGCTCCACATTCTGTTTCTTCTTCTAGGACTGAAATCTTTCCTTTTTGTTTTTCTCTTCGTTGGTGTCTGGGATCACCCACGCTCACCTCTACTCGCAAAGACTCATCCTGTGGGTCTTCTTCTGTGGATCAGATCTGTCCATGCTGATCTTGGATTAGATAAATCACATCTGACGTGAATCCTGACCACAGGAATTGTGAATATAATAAAATGGTAGTTGTTTTATATTGCTGAGTTTTTCTGCAGTGATAAATAACTGGAATAGAGCTCCACATTCTGTTTCTTCTTCTAGGACTGAAATCTTTCCTTTTTGTTTTTCTCTTCATTGGTGTCTGGGATCACCCACGCTCACCTCTACTCGCAAAGACTCATCCGGGTCTTCTTCTGTGGATCAGATCTGTCCATGCTGATCTTGGATTAGATAAATCACATCTGAGAAGTGCTTTGAGAGACCACGGCTAGATCATATGTAAGAACAGAACTTTCACCCACAACCTGCAGCAACCTGCCCAGGAAAGCCACCTCTTATCTACAGTAAACAGCCTGCTATAAGTCAGATAGGCCAGAAGCCAGATTGCCACCTCTAATGACAATCCAGGAAGCTAAACAATAACTTCTATGACAATCGGCCTAAAATGACCAGGACTTGATTAATAATTGACAGCTTCCCTAAGTTTTGTTCCTGCTTCCAGCTTAGTACCGACAGAGAGACCAATACAAGGGTACTTAAAAAGGTTAATGGAAAAATGGAATTAAAAGATAATATGAATCTTTCCATGAACTTTTTGAAGTCCCCTCGTATGCACCCCTAACCAGTTCCATAGGATGCCTGGCTTCCAGTTAGCCACCTACAGCTCCCGCATGCAGACAGCCTTCACTCGGGGCACGCCTGCGAACTTCCCGTTTTCCCCACTGTAAAGTTCTCCCACTCCTCTGCTGCCTGTGAGTCTTTGCCAAAAACGCAAGTGACTGTGGCTGACTCCCTTGCTATCTGTAACAAGTTCTGAAAAAATAGCCTTTGCTTTTCTCATTTGGTTGGTCTTCATTTATTGGCACAGCTTAAAAAGCGGCAGCTTCACACAGATTTCCCAAGCCAGTCCTTCTAATGACTCTGTGGTGGGACGTGTCACTATCGCCCTCATTGTACAGACGCGGAAACGGAAGCCCTGAGGGATTTGCTGGTGA